GGGGTGTGAGGTGGGGAGCCGTGGGGTGTGAGGTGGGGAGCTGTGGCGTGTGAGGTGGGGAGCCGTGGCGTGTGAGGTGGGGAGCCGTGGGGTGTGAGGTGGGGAGCCGTGGGGTGTGAGGTGGGGAGCTGTGGGGTGTGAGGTGGGGAGCCGTGGGGTGAACAGAGCTGAAGCAGATTCGCAAGGACCACAACTACTCGTACGAGGTGAGGTGTACTACTCTTCTTCCCTCCCCTCCTTCCCTCCTCTCCTTCCCTCCCCTCCTTCCCTCCTCTCCTTCCCTCCCCTCCTTCCCTCCTCTCCTTCCCTCCCCTCCTTCCCTCCTCTCCTTCCCTCCCCTCCTTCCTTCCTTTCCTTCCCTCCTCTCCTTCCCTCCTCTCCTTCCCTCCTGTCCTTCCCCCTCTCCTTCCCTCTTCTCCTTCCCTCTTCTCCTTCCCTCTTCTCCTTCCCTCTTCTCCTTCCCTCTTCTCCTTCCCTCTTCTCCTTCCCTTCTCTCCTTTCCGTTGACCATGGTCGTTTGCACAGGAGGTGGTGAACATCCATCCGGACACGCTGCCCAACTACGAGCAGAAGCTCAAGTCCTTTTACGAGGAGCACATTCACACCGACGAGGAGATTCGCTACATCCTCGACGGCAGCGGTGAGTGAAGGGGTGAGCGGCTGACCTGGCGGGCGGTGGTGAGTGAAGGGGTGAGCGGCTGACCTGGCGGGCGGTGGTGAGTGAAGGGGTGAGCGGCTGACCTGGCGGGCAGTGGTGAGTGAAGGGGTGAGCGGCTGACCTGGCGGGCAGTGGTGAGTGAAGGGGTGAGCGGCTGACCTGGCGGGCAGTGGTGAGTGAAGGGGTGAGCGGCTGACCTGGCGGGCAGTGGTGAGTGAAGGGGTGAGCGGCTGACCTGGCGGGCAGTGGTGAGTGAAGGGGTGAGCGGCTGACCTGACGGGCAGTGGTGAGTGAAGGGGTGGTGAGCACTCAACTACGAGCTGCGGTCGTTCCACGAGGAGCACATCCACACAGACGAGGAGATCCGCTACATCCTTGACGGCAGTGGTGATTGCTGCTCTAAACAGCAGCGGTGAGTGCTGCTCTAAACAGCAGCGGTGAGTGCTGCTCTAAACAGCAGCGGTGAGTGCTGCTCTAAACAGCAGCGGTGAGTGCTGCTCTAAACAGCAGCGGTGAGTGCGGGGTCTGCTCTAAACATGCAGTCAACTAGAAGCAGAGTCTGCTGCCCTTCCACGAGGAGCACATTCACACGGATGAGGAGACCCCTCCTTGACGCCACTGGTGAGTGAGCCGCTGGCACCTGTTCCAGTTGGCAGTGTTCTGTGCTGCTCTGGACATCAGTGTTCAGTGCCCCATTCCCACCTGTTTGGTACGGCTGTGGTGAGGGGGTGGGCACTGTGCTAGAGGGCAGTGGCGGGGGGCCAGTTTTGTCCGCAAATTCTTCTTTACGTGCCCCCTCTTACTTCTCCTTCACGTGCCCCTTTCTTGATCCTCCACGTTCTCTTTCATGAATCACTCCCTTCAACTGTATTCACCGTGTCTCGTGTTTCCTTGGCCCTCCCATCTCCCATCTCCCGCCGCCAGGCTACTTCGATGTGAGGGACTTTGAGGACCGTTGGATCCGCATCCACACGAAGAAGGGCGACCTCGTTGTGCTGCCAGCTGGCATCTACCACCGCTTCACCCTCGACTCCACCAACTACGTCAAGGTGCGTTCCGAGCCGTCTCAATACGTTTTACCCTTGACTTGACCAACTACGTCAAGGTGCGCAGCGCATGCAGCGAAGCATAGAGGATTGCAGCCTGCAGTTTGCTTGTGCTGCTCGTTTTGCAGCTTTGTAACAAGGGCACTCTAGTCATGTGCCTTGTACAAAACGTGACAGGCAGAGTTCTCATTGTGTCTGCGGTCTGCGACTGGCTGTCTCCTTTTCAGGCTCTCCGTCTCTTTGTGGGCGAGCCTGTGTGGACTCCTTACAACCGTCCGGCTGATGAAATGGCTGCCAGGTATGTGCCCTGCCAAGTGTCATGCTGGTCATGCGGAATCGTCAGCCTTATCTCACCCTCTCACATCAAGTGCCTATTTTGCAGGAAGGAGTACCTTGAGAAGTTTGCCATCAGGACGGCAACTGCTGTTGCATAGTCTCATTACACTGACATTTTGATAGGCATTATTGCTGTGAATAGTTCACATGGTTGCTACGTACTTTTATGAGGACTTCTCTCATTTCAGAGATCCTTGTAACTTGCCGTTAAAGAACGAGCAAACAAGGTCACTCTAGCAGATTAGGAAGGTTGCATTGCAAACCATTGAGGTCCATTGATGTACCGTCTAAGGGCGTGTGAAATTGTTTTAGGTTCGTAATTTAGGCCGAACTTTAGCTGGTTACCACGTTCACCAATTTCGCCGACACGGTTGGCGAAATGCACTTTAAATCGGAAACACACAAATGCGACCAGCAAAAAGTGAACAAGGCTCGAATCTACGCACGAACGTGAGAGTGCAAGATGAGCCGAACATGTGTTATTTTGGGCACGCAAGAGAAGTTGACGAATTGCGCGATTTGTTCGTGCACCAATGAACGCACCACTGAAACAAGGTAAGCAGTTCGTCTCGCAGAGCTAGACAAAACCAGGTTACCTAAATAACCTATGGGCAGCTCGGCCCACCCCCTGTAAGGTCGAACGTGCAAAATCGAACTTGCAAGACCGTTTGCGAGACGCGGAATCGAACTTAGCCATCAACGAAAGTCGAATTTTGTTCAACTCATGTTCAAATGCCACATTCGAGAATGAGTTGGGACATGAGAATTCGTTAATTCGTCTGACATCCACCCATGTTCAACTCTGTTTTCCACAGTAATCGTGGGCTTATTTGAATATAATCATATTTTTTTAGTTTGAATCTTATGAACACTGCTTTACATCCAGAGCAAAACAGGACCCAACTTCACGCCCATTTAATAGGGAGCGGGGAAGACACCGGGGATGGCGGCAATGGACTGAAAAGGCACAAGAAACAGAGAGTGGATGTCAGACAATTTAACGAGGAATGATAGATAGAACAAAAAAACTGCGGAAAGCTCCTGGAGTGCCAAGGGAACAACGAATTACCTCGACGACGTTGTTGTGGAAGGGGTCGGAGAGGTGGTCCAGGAGGTTCTCAATGGGGCTCTTGTCGGTGTACGCGCACTGGACCCAGAAGCCGAGGTTAGCAAGCATGGCCAATCGGCCGTTCTTGATCTCCCGGAGACGCACATCCTTAACCTTGGCAGGCTCGCCGAAGCCCATGCCGAGGGGATCGAAGCCGGGGTAGCCAACATCGGTACCCTTGACGGCATTGCCCTTGAAGATGGGGTCCTCGCTGTAATCGGAAAATAAATTTCACGTGAGATCCAGTTGCAAAGACTAAGGCTAAAGAACGGCAGTGAAAACGGAAAACAAAACTCACTTCACGGAGCCGGGGTTGTTGATGTCAGCCCATCTCCTGCCCTCAACCCAGCCAACAAGGATGATCTCAATGGCCCACAGGGTGGGGGTGTCGAGCCAGTACTCGGCCACGTTAGCGGCGTCCCAGCGGGGGATGTCGAGGAGGCCAGCAACGCGGAGAGCGTCAGGGATCATGATACCGGCGGCACCGAGCATGGCCCAGCGGCAGTGGAACACCTCAGCCTGGACATACCAGTCGAGGTTGCTGGAGGCAAGACCAAGGGGGTCGAAGCCGAAGTCAGCGGGAAGGGTGCCATCAAGGTAGGCAGGAGGGGTGCTGCCGGGGAAGTACAGCGGCCTCTCGCCGGCCCTGACGGAGAAGGCAGCCTTCACGGGGGCGGCGGCGACCTTGACGGAGCGAACCTTCTTGCCGGAGAAGGCAGACTTGCTCACGACGGAGCTGGCAACAGCCGCAACGGTGTGGGAGGCGACGACGGCAGCCATGGCTTCAGATGCAGTGTACAGCAGGGGAAGCTGGGGTACACTGAAAGTTGGGTTGGGTTCGTCAACAACTCCAAGATTGGGGGTTGCAAGGAGGGATAGTAATTCAGTTCAGATGGAGGGAGGGGGGTGGGGGAGGGGGACGGGGGAGCAGCAGAGGGGAGCAGAGAGGATCAGGGAGGGCGTGGCGCGTCGCGGCGAAATGTCACACGGGGGCAGCCCAGAAGATCCATCGCTAGCCTCTGCGTCGAATGGGAGAAATCGGCGAGCAGATAATGTGCCAGCTCGACCAATGCGAGGGCTCGCTGGGGTTCGCTTCGGCAATCCCCAGCCAGGAAAGTTATGGGGTTGAGTTGACAGATATGAGGGGCTTGTGAGGCAAAACGATTGTCCCTCAAATGAGCGGCTGATTCGCAAATTAGCAACATTTGTATTCAATGTACACTTCTGTAATTTTCTGCATATAACGATTTGTAGTCCTGAACTTGTGCAACCACGAAAAAATGAAACCTAAAATAAATAATCTGCACTTATGTAGATTATATTTCAAATATATTGGTGATTTCAAACAAAATCAACCTGTATCGAGGTATGAATATCTTGTTTGTACAAAAACCAGCCCTTATTTTTCAATGTAGTAAGACACATTGGGAGGTGATTTGATGGTAGTGCATAGAAATGAACAGAATACTCTCCAAATTTTGCACAAAGGATTGCATTGTAGCGAGTTGCACCATTGTCCTTCCATCAGCGCCGTCTGCTGATCCACAGCTCTAATGGGAGTCCGACAGAGGCTGATGCTGATCCGCGTTGAAGCGGCTGCTTACGCGACTCCTCGTGTCACTTCTCGAAGTGTCGATGCCCGAGTGTTCGTAAATCGTTCAATGACCTGCCGCCCTTAGTACTTTGTTCCGCCTCTCGCCCTTAGGCCTCTCGCCCTTAGGCCCGTCACCCCGCGCGAAGGAAGCCTGCAGTTCCTCGCACAGACGCACTCTAGAGCCTCCGCCCGCATTTTGCTCCAAGTACGCCCTTCAGGCGGTTACACCGCCACTGCGCTTAGGCAAAACTCCCAGCCATGGCGTCGCAGTCGCAGCCCGTCGCACGGAGTCGCACAGCGTCTCGAGGCGTCGCAGGGCGGCGCGCCCCAGAGGTGTACGACGTGGTGGTGGTGGGCGCAGGCCTGGCGGGGCTGCAGGCGGCGCAGCAGCTGATGGCGCGGGACAGGCAGTGGGCGGAGTGGGCGCGCGGAGGCGCAGCGGGCGCGGGAGGCGCGGAGGGCGCGGGGAATGGGCGCAGCGGGGCGCGGAATGGGGAGCTGCGCGTGGTGGTGCTGGAGGCGCACGGCATGGTCGGGGGGAGAGTGCGCGGACTGGAGGGACTAGTTCCTTGGACTGTGGAGGTGAGGGGAGTGGGGGGAAGGGGAGGTTGAGGAGGGGGGAAGGAGGGGAAGAGAAGAAGAAGTTGGGTTTGGGGGGAATGGGGGATGGTGCGAGAGAGGGGTGTCATGATGAGGCGGGGGGAAGAGGCGGGGGGCAAGAAAGGTGGGGGGAGGAAGTGGCAAGGCGGAAGGAGGGGCAGATGCGGAGTAAAGAGAGAGGATGGTTGGAATAGACTGGTTGGGGAGGACGAGGAGGAAGGGAAAGGGGGGGGGTGAGGGAGGCGAGTGAGGGAGGGCAAACCGCGTGGGAAACGTGGGAAGGGATTCGAGATTCGGGGTGCAGGGTTGAGGGTTGAAGGAGGGGTGTGAAGTGGAGGGTCTTTGGTGGCATGAGGGATGTGGGGAAAGGGTTTCGGTGGTGGCGAAAGGGAAGCGCGTGGGTGATTGTGTATAGCATTTGAGAGTTCCCAAATGCTTATCATTGTGACTCGAATGCAGCAGCAGCACCAGCATGTGCTGGCTCAACTCAACTCAACCCACTTGTGGTGATCCGATTGTGATTATGTATTGACTCGAATGCAGCAGCACCAGCATGTTTTGGCTCAACTCAGCCACTCGTGGTGATGTGATGCGATGTGCGCAGTTGCTTGCTCAACTCTTCCTTAACGTGCTTCATACAATGCGGTTGTGTGCGGTGCAGATGGGTCCGGAGTTCATTCACGGGGATCGCAACTGCTCCATCAAGGCAGCAGTGGATCAGCTTGGCTGTCAGCAGACCACCCTCGCCTTCCATATCCGCGCGCCCTCTCTCTTACTGCCCTCTCAGTGCCCTCTCAGTGCCGTCTCAGTGCCCTCTTAGTGCCCTCTCAGTACCCTCTCAGTGCCCTCTTAGTGCCCTCTTAGTGCCCTCTCAGTACCCTCTTAGTGCCCTCTCAGTACCCTCTCAGTGCCCTCTTAGTGCCCTCTCAGTGCCCTCTTAGTGCCCTCTCAGTGCCCTCTTACTGCCCTCTCAGTGCCCTCTCAGTGCCGTCTCAGTGCCCTCTTAGTGCCCTCTCAGTACCCTCTCAGTGCCCTCTTAGTGCCCTCTTAGTGCCCTCTCAGTGCCCTCTTACTGCCCTCTCAGTGCCCTCTCAGTGCCGTCTCAGTGCCCTCTTAGTGCCCTCTCAGTACCCTCTCAGTGCCCTCTTAGTGCCCTCTTAGTGCCCTCTCAGTGCCCTCTTAGTGCCCTCTCAGTACCCTCTCAGTGCCCTCTTAGTGCCCTCTCAGTGCCCTCTTAGTGCCCTCTCAGTGCCCTCTTACTGCCCTCTCAGTGCCCTCTCAGTGCCGTCTCAGTGCCCTCTTAGTGCCCTCTCAGTACCCTCTCAGTGCCCTCTTAGTGCCCTCTCAGTGCCCTCTTAGTGCCCTCTCAGTGCCCTCTTACTGCCCTCTCAGTGCCCTCTCAGTGCCGTCTCAGTGCCCTCTTAGTGCCCTCTCAGTACCCTCTCAGTGCCCTCTTAGTGCCCTCTTAGTGCCCTCTCAGTGCCCTCTTACTGCCCTCTCAGTGCCCTCTCAGTGCCGTCTCAGTGCCCTCTTAGTGCCCTCTCAGTACCCTCTCAGTGCCCTCTTAGTGCCCTCTTAGTGCCCTCTCAGTGCCCTCTTAGTGCCCTCTCAGTACCCTCTCAGTGCCCTCTTAGTGCCCTCTCAGTGCCCTCTAGTGCCCTCTCAGTGCCCTCTAGTGCCCTCTCAGTGCCGTCTCAGTGCCCTCTTAGTGCCCTCTCAGTACCCTCTCAGTGCCCTCTTAGTGCCCTCTTAGTGCCCTCTCAGTGCCCTCTTAGTGCCCTCTCAGTACCCTCTCAGTGCCCTCTTAGTGCCCTCTGAGTGCCCTCTCAGTGCCCTCTCAGTGCCCTCTTAGTGCCCTCTCAGTACCCTCTCAGTACCCTCTCAGTACCCTCTCAGTGCCCTCTCAGTGCCCTCTCAGTGCCCTCTTAGTGCCCTCTTAGTGCCCTCTCAGTGCCCTCTCAGTGCCCTCTTAGTGCCCTCTCAGTGCCCTCTCAGTGCCCTCTCAGTGCCCTCTCAGTGCCCTCTTAGTGCCCTCTCAGTGCCCTCTCAGTGCCCTCTCAGTGCCCTCTCAGTGCCCTCTCAGTGCCCTCTCAGTGCCCTCTTAGTGCCCTCTCAGTGCCCTCTTAGTGCCCTCTCAGTACCCTCTCAGTGCCCTCTCAGTGCCCTCTTAGTGCCCTCTCAGTGCCCTCTCAGTGCCCTCTCAGTGCCCTCTCAGTGCCCTCTCAGTGCCCTCTTAGTGCCCTCTTAGTGCCCTCTCAGTGCCCTCTCAGTGCCCTCTTAGTGCCCTCTCAGTGCCCTCTCAGTGCCCTCTCAGTGCCCTCTTAGTGCCCTCTCAGTGCCCTCTCAGTGCCCTCTCAGTGCCCTCTCAGTGCCCTCTCAGTGCCCTCTCAGTGCCCTCTTAGTGCCCTCTCAGTGCCCTCTTAGTGCCCTCTCAGTACCCTCTCAGTGCCCTCTCAGTGCCCTCTTAGTGCCCTCTCAGTGCCCTCTCAGTGCCCTCTCAGTGCCCTCTCAGTGCCCTCTCAGTGCCCTCTTAGTGCCCTCTTAGTGCCCTCTCAGTGCCCTCTCAGTGCCCTCTTAGTGCCCTCTTAGTGCCCTCTCAGTGCCCTCTCAGTGCCCTCTCAGTGCCCTCTTGCTCCCGTTTGTCACGCAGGTTGTCAATCCCTCCTAATTCCGCCCATCTCCCTTTTCCACCTCCACATGTCAGGCCTTCTCTGACCCTTGCCATCATCACCACCATGCAATGCATGCGCCCTATTGCATCTCATCACACACAACGCTTGCAAGCACCGGTGGCACGGCTCTCCTTAACTGCCTCTCACCCTTGCCTCTCACCCTTGCCTCTCACCCTTGCCTCTCACCCTTGCCTCTCACCCTTGCCTCTCACCCTTGCCTCTCACCCTTGCCTCTCACCCTTGCCTCTCACCCTTGCCTCTCACCCTTGCCTCTCACCCTTGCCTCTCACCCTTGCCTCTCACCCTTGCCTCTCACCCTTGCCTCTCACCCTTGCCTCTCACCCTTGCCTCTCACCCTTGCCTCTCACCCTTGCGTCTCACCCTTGCCTCTCACCCTTGCCTCTCACCCTTGCCTCTCACCCTTGCCTCTCACCCTTGCCTCTCACCCTTGCCTCTCACCCTTGCCTCTCACCCTTGCCTCTCACCCTTGCCTCTCACCCTTGCCTCTTACCTTTGCCTCTCACCCTTGCCTCTCACCCTTGCCTCTCACCCTTGCCTCTCACCCTTGCCTCTCACCCTTGCCTCTCACCCGTGCCTCTCACCCCCTACTTTTCCGTTATCTTCATCCCTCCTCCTTCCCTCCCCCTTCTTGTGTCTCGTTCCTTCCATGTGCCCGTTCTTTCCACTTCCTCACCACCTCCTCTTCTCGCCCTTCCTCCTCTTCCATCCGTCACTCCCCTCCTCCTCCTTCTCTCCTCTTCCCTTTCGTGTCCCACATCATTGCTACCATCTCTCCCCTTCCCCCCATCCACCCGACCACTACCGTTGTTCTCTCTTCTTCTCCCCCATTCCACCAACCACCGGACCACTACTATTTCGGCAAGGAGCAGCGCCTGGTGCCACCCGAGGAGGCGGAGAGCGACCCCGATGTTGCGGCCGTGCACGCCTTCTTTGAACACCTCGCCTCGCACGGGCAGGGCGGGCAGGAAAGAGGCGGGGAGGGGGAGAGGGGCGGGGAGGGGGAGGAAAAGGAGGGCGACTGCTCGGTGGTGGAGATGATGCGGCGCAAGGGCGCCTCGCCACGCCAGCTGGCTCTCGCGGAATGTAGGTAGTGGTGATGATGCTGGTGCTGTTGGGGATGGCTTTTGCTGCTGCTTGCTGCCTGCTGCTGGTGTTGCTGCTGCTGCTGGTGGTGGTGGTGGTGGTGGTGTTGCTGCTGTGGCTGCTTCTGCTTCTGCTGCTGCTGCTGCTGGTTGCGGTGGTGGGGGTGGGGATGCTGCCTGCTGCTCACTTCCTCTGTTGCTCCTCTCTCCTATCCTATGGCGAGGGCGGGGGTGTATGGCGCTGCTGTTGAGGGCGTGGGTGTATGGCGCTGCTGTTGAGGGCGGGGGTGTATGGCGCTGCTGTTGAGGGCGGGGGTGTATGGCGCTGCTGTTGAGGGCGTGGGTGTATGGCGCTGCTGTTGAGGGCGGGGGTGTATGGCGCTGCTGTTGAGGGCGTGGGTGTATGGCGCTGCTTTTGAGGCGCCTCAAAAGGCGAGGGCGGGGGTGCATGGTGCTGTGAAACTAAAATCCTTCTTCTCTCTCGTCGTTATCCTCCCCACTTCCTCTCCCGTCCTCCCGGCCCTTCCCACCTCCTCCCCATCCCCCTCTTGCCTCCCCTCCCCCGCGGTGCCTGCCTCCCCAATCCTTCCCCCCCAGCCATATACGCGAATGACTTTGGGTGCTCGCTGCACCATCTGGGCATGGGGGAGAGTGTGAGGGAGGCGAGGTCGTGGGTGTATGGCTTCAAATACATTGTGTGCGACCGGCCCTTCTCAGCCGTCGTGCAACACTTGGCCATGGGCCTTGAGGTGATGACGACATGGCTTGTTGAGCCGAACGGCATGGGGGAGGAGGGAGGAGGGAGGTGTGAGGGAGGTCAGCGCATGGGGGAAACCAGGTCGTGGGTGTATGGCTTATCCAACGTCTGGTTGTTTCTGAGAGTTACCAAGAGGCATTTGGGAGCTCAGGTGATATCAGGATTATGATGCCCGCACTTCATGCCTTTACGTGGTCAAAAGAAGAAAGAAAGAAAGAAAGAAAAAAATGCGGTTTTTTTTCCTTTGTTTTGCTCCCTCTTGTTCTTCCAGGTGAAATGCGATTGGCCTGTGGCCTCCATAACTTATGGCGCCAACAGCAGTGCGTCCGCGAATCCTGCTGCACCCATCTCCACCGCTCGCAGTGCTACACTGGCAGCCCCAACTGCCCTCATCACAGTGACCAGCAAGCACGGGGAGCAGCTTCAGGCAAAACGCGTCGTCATCACTGTGCCTCTGGTGGGTGTTTCCCTCATGTGTGTCTCTTGCAAGTACCTAAGAGAGCCCCTCGTGAGAGCCCCTCGTGAGAGCGCCTCGTGAGAGCCTCTGAGTGCCCCTTTTATGATCGTAAGGTTGGGTTGGTGGAGCGCTTTTGCGTGCAGGTCCTCCACTCCACACCTTTGTTTGCCCTTTGCTTTGGTGAACGCAACGCAACGCAACGCAACGCATCACACTCTTCCTTCCTAGCAGTGGCTGCTGCTTCGCTCTTCCTTTCATTCCAATCTACTGCTGCTCCTCCTGCTCCTATCCCCACTCCCCTGCTCCCCTCCCCTACTTCCCTTCTCCTCCACCTCCCCACTCCTTACTCCCTTCTCCCCCACTCCCCTTCTCTCGCACTCCCTTTCAATCCCACTCCCCTTCTCCCCCACTCACTTTCACCCCCGTTCCCTTTCTCCCATACTCCCTTACTCCCGCACTCCCTTTCACCACACTCCACCGCTCTGCACCACCAGCCTGTGCTGCAGGCAGGGGCCAAGCCCAAGCAGCGGGCGATCGGAGCCGTGCGCATGGGGTGTGCTGTGAAGGTGAGAGGGGGATGGGACAGGGGAGCTGTATGGGAGATGTGATACATGTGTGAGACGCTTGTGGCCAAGCAGCGGGCCATGGGAGCCGTGCGCATGGGGTATGCCGTGAAGGCGAGAGGTGTTCTGGGAAGATTGGAGGGGCAGGAAGGATGAATCAGATGGCATTTGGGGGGAATGTGGGGGGCATGCAGCCAAGCAGGGGGGCATAGGAGAAGTGCGCATAGGAGAAGTGCGCATGGGGTTTGCCATGAAGGTGAGAGGGGTAGGATGGGGGAGGAAGCGGCGAGAGGCTTCTTCAATCCTCCTCGTTTCTCTCCACTCTCCCTAATCCAGGTGAACATGGCCTTCTCTCACCGTGTGTGGCCCGCCCACCTCTTTGACATAGTCTGCACCACTCCTTCCCTCCTGTCCCCCTCTTGCCTGCACCTTATGCCCCCTGCACACCACGCCACACCCCTCCCCTCAGGTCCTAATGGCCTTCTCCCACCAAGTGTGGCCCGCCCACCTCTTTGACATAGTCTGCACTGACTCCTTCCCTCCTGTCCCCCTACTGCCTGCACCTTATGCCCCTCCCCTCCCCTCCAGGTGCTCATGGCCTTCTCTAGCCGTGTGTGGCCCACGCACCTCTTTGACATAGTCTGCACTGACTCCTTCCCTCCTGTCCCCCTACTGCCTGCACCTTATGCCCCTCCCCTCCCCTCCAGGTGCTCATGGCCTTCTCTAGCCGTGTGTGGCCCGCGCACCTCTTTGACATAGTCTGCACTAACTCCTTCCCTCCTGTCCCCCTACTGCCTGCACCTTATGCCCCTCCCCTCCCCTCCAGGTGCTCATGGCCTTCTCTAGCCGTGTGTGGCCCGCGCACCTCTTTGACATAGTCTGCACTGACTCCTTCCCTCCTGTCCCCCTACTGTCTGCACCTTATGCCCCTCCCCTCCCCTCCAGGTGCTCATGGCCTTCTCTAGCCGTGTGTGGCCCGCGCACCTCTTTGACATAGTCTGCACTGACTCCTTCCCTCCTGTCACCCTACTGTCTGCACCTTATGCCCCTCCCCTCCCCTCCAGGTGCTCATGGCCTTCTCTAGCCGTGTGTGGCCCGCCCACCTCTTTGACATAGTCTGCACTGACTCCTTCCCTCCTGTCCCCCTACTGCCTGCACCTTATGCCCCTCCCCTCCCCTCCAGGTGCTCATGGCCTTCTCTAGCCGTGTGTGGCCCGCGCACCTCTTTGACATAGTCTGCACTAACTCCTTCCCTCCTGTCCCCCTACTGCCTGCACCTTATGCCCCTCCCCTCCCCTCCAGGTGCTCATGGCCTTCTCTAGCCGTGTGTGGCCCGCCCACCTCTTTGACATAGTCTGCACTGACTCCTTCCCTCCTGTCCCCCTACTGCCTGCACCTTATGCCCCTCCCCTCCCCTCCAGGTGCTCATGGCCTTCTCTAGCCGTGTGTGGCCCGCGCACCTCTTTGACATAGTCTGCACTAACTCCTTCCCTCCTGTCCCCCTACTGCCTGCACCTTATGCCCCTCCCCTCCCCTCCAGGTGCTCATGGCCTTCTCTAGCCGTGTGTGGCCCGCGCACCTCTTTGACATAGTCTGCACTGACTCCTTCCCTCCTGTCCCCCTACTGCCTGCACCTTATGCCCCTCCCCTCCCCTCCAGGTGCTCATGGCCTTCTCTAGCCGTGTGTGGCCCGCGCACCTCTTTGACATAGTCTGCACCGACTCCTTTCTGCCCGAAGTCTGGTTCACCCGCCGCTCGCCCTCCTCTTCCCCCACTTCCTCCTCTTCCTCCTCCTCCTCCACCACTCCTGCAGCGCCTATCACTGCTGTTGTCCCCCCTCCCTCGGTCCCCATGGGTCAGTTCCTCGCAGTCGGCTTTGCAGCAGGTGATGCAGCAGAAGACATGGCGAGGCTGCCGCCCCAAGTGGTGCTTTCCCGGGCTCTGGAGCAGCTAGACACCATGTTTCGTCGCCCGTGCTCCACCTGCAAACCAGGGCCTGACGGTGTCAGCGTAACTCAAACTCAGCCAAAACAGACTTATGGAAACGACACAAGCGGGTCAAGTCGGGTCTGCCTAGCGCATGGGCTGCAGCTACAGGCGTTGCCGCATGGAGCTTCTGGTGACAGTGTCGGCACCTTTGTCGTGCCGGCAGCGTCAATAAAACCACCCGGGAGCAGCAGCAGCAGCAGCAGCAGCTCGTGCCCTCCTGCTGCTACACCCCTTCTCTGCACCTCCTGCCACCCAGCTTCTGCATGCTTCGTTTCAGGCTGTTTCGCTGACTGGTCTAAAGACGTCTATATCCGTGGCGCCTACACCCATCCAACGATCGGAGCAGGGGATGCAAGGGACCAGCTGGCGGCGCCTTTGGCTGGAAAGCTGTTCTTTGCTGGGGAGGCCACGCACTTTGGTGTGAACCCATGCATGCAGGGAGCACTGGACACGGGTACAAGAGTGGCTAATGAAGTGTTCTGGTCACTGCAGGAGAGCAAGTTGTAGGTTAGACTGATATTTAGTGACGTTTGACAGTACTGGTGGGGAGGCACGTGTTAATGAACTATAAAGTGTATTTTCTGTTACCCTATGTGACAAGACGTTTAGGGTTATCAGCTGAGCTACAATGGTTGCAAGATATGTTTTTCACTGATAGCAGACGGAGGAAATGAAAGATGTGATGTGTCGTTGCATAGGCACCACTAGGTACAAGTTGTATTTTAGAATTTTTCATTTAATATTATGCACACTTGCTTTACATCCAGCTCTAGAGACCAGACATTAACCCAGCTCAATAGAACACGGACTGCAACCACAGAAGAAAGGTGTACGAAAGGCGTTGGTGAGCTGAACTTCAATAGAAATTTGGTAAGGGTGTATGAATAAAATAATACAGAAGACGAAAGCTTACCATGGCGTTGTGTGCGAAGTTGTTGAAGCCGGGGTTCTCGAGGTGGTTCAACAGGTTCTCGACGGGGCTGGCATCGGTGTAAGAAGCCTGGACCCAGAAGCCAAGGTTAGCAAGCATGGCCAATCGGCCGTTCCTGATCTCCTTGGAGCGGATCTCCTTCACGTAAGCAGGTGAACCGAAGCCCATGCCGAGGGGGTCGAAGCCGGGGTAGCCAACATCGGTGCCCTTCACCTTGTTGCCCTTGAAGATGGGGTCCTCGCTGCAAGCAGCAGATAACAAACGTTAGCAACCAATGATACCGCGGAACATTCAATTAGTGGAAGGCAAAGTAACCCATGTGGCCAGACTTACCTCACGGATCCGGGCTTGATGATGTCGGCCCAGCGGTTGCCCTCAGCCCAGCCGAAAGCGGCGATCTCAACCGCCAGCAGCACACGCCAGTCAATGCCGTAGTCAGCGACACCCGCGATGTCCCAGCGGGGGATGTCGAGGAGACCAGCAACGCGGAGAGCGTCGGGGATCAGAACGCCAGCAGCACCGAGCATGGCCCAGCGGCAGTGGACGAGCTCAGCCTGGACGTACCAGTTGACATCGTCGGAGGCTGCAGGAGAATGGGAAATAATGGAGGAAATATAAGCACATGAACCATTAAAATCCATCTGGAAAGAATAGAACCAAACTTGAGCTAACGCAATTTCACGATGTTTAGGTGGAGGAATAGGAGACTAACCAAGGCCAAGGGGATCGAAGCCGAAGTCAGCAGCATAGGTGCCGTCAAGGTGGGCGGGAGGGGTGCTGCCAGGGAACCACAGGGGCCTGTCGGCATCAGCGGACACGCTGAATGCAACCTTCTGGGGAGCGGCAGCGACCTTGACGGAGCGAACCTTCTTGCCGGAGAAGGCAGACTTGCTCACGACGGAGCTGGCAACAGCCGCAACGGTGTGGGAGGCGACGACGGCAGCCATGGCTTCAGATGCAGTGTACAGCAGGGGAAGCTGGGGTACACTGAAAGTTGGGTTGGGTTCGTCAACAACTCCAAGATTGGGGGTTGCAAGGAGAGGTAATTCAGGAGGTCTGAGGATCAGGGAGGCCCCACCGTGTCGCGGCGAATGGTCACACGGGGGCAGCCCAGGAGATCCATCGCTAGCGTCAGGATCGAATGGGAGAAATCGGCGAGCAGATAATGTGCCAGCTCGACCAATGCGAGGCCTCGCTGGGGTTCGCCCCGACAATCCCCAACCAGGAAAGTTGAGCAACTCAGTCCCCTCCAGATATGCGAGGGCTCGCCAGCCACAGCGATTGTCACGGAAACGAGGGATGACTCAGCACATTAATGGATATATAATCTTGTACACCTTGTTAAATCATACGTATGTATATAACAGTTTTGCATTCATGAAACAAGCATAATAATTTATTACTAGGTCAAATCATATGGTAATATAAACAGCATACAGATTAGATATAGATATTGAGAATTATAACCAATTTATATACTTTTTGTTTTACTTCTACGGTCTCTGCTAGTACAGTATCACGGAAATGATACAATTCTCGGCAATACAAACGCAATGAACCAGTGCCGGCATCTGATGGTCTTCCTATTTGAAAAAACCTGTTCGTAAACAACAGGGCCCTGTTCGGATTGCCATTGCCCGGCCATCAGGGGTCTGCTCTTGTTTGGTATGGCTAGACGAGCCACGATGACGTTGAGAGCTCGGCAGCCTGATCGGATCGGACCGAGGGACATGCCTGTTACAAAGCAAGATTATGGCCTGGCTGCATCCCTGAGAAGTTTTACAAGTGCTATCAATCAAGAGACATCCATGGTTGGACCAAGGCCCAACCAAATAGGGTCCAAAAAATAATCAGGTTGGAATGATAGGGATGAGGGGAGGGGAGAGGGGGGGAAAAGGGGCGGTGGAGGTGTGGTTGGTAGGTACGGTATAACGCAGACAAAAATGGTATGGTGGTTTTACAGGTGAGCTTTACATTCAAGAAAACGTTACCGTACAGTACGTTGAGGTTGTTGGAAACAATTGATTTAGCGCCTCTGTCGTGTCGAAACACCAAGTCAGAAGCGAAGCGAAACATATCGAAGCATTAGCGAGTCAACCCTCGGAGGTTGAACATCTGCTGGAGGTTATGCGAAAGTCGAAGGTCAACGACTTTTGACCTGGCAAATACAGCGCGACAGCAAGGACAAACAACTGACTCGCTATTAAGCAGTTGCCCGAGTCGTCACTGTATCGAACCGCAACAGCAACAGCAAAACGGTTATTAACTGTATCTCTTCGTATTCCTTGTACTCTTATAAAAGCTTGTATCCCTTTGTTTTAATCAATCTACTTTGCCCTCACATACTAGCGCAAGGTGGTTCACAAAGTTCTCATTTAACGCTTCCGCTATTACATTGTCCTACTCAGAATTTAGTCCTGCAAAGATCCTAAGGGCTTTTCTCAGCCCAACAGAGGTAACTTTTGATTTAAGCCCAATGATATACGGTATGGCAAAACGTGGGCACGACTCACAAATGTGGTAAATATTTCGTATGCGTCTTGTCAAACTATATGTTTGTTAGCTTCTAGGCTACACTGAGGTTCACACTAGAGGGGATAACCCAATTTGGGTTTCCTACTTGTATCCAACTGTTGCTTAGTTCATTCATTCCTCATTCCTAATCTTGACATGGTTTCAGAGTAGGTCCCGGTTAGGACCGATTTTTGTAGGGTCCACCGTATTCGTTCCGCTCTGCCCGGCAGTCGTTTTTTTTTCCCCTGCCTGGCCCGTCGTTTCTGCCCTGACCAGCACGCCATCGCGCTGCTGCACTGCACTGCCCAGCGCACTACCACGCTGCCTGCCCAAAGCCGCGCGCTATCGCGCTACCTAGTGCGCTCGCCCGCCCGCTGCCCGCGCTGCCTGCACGCTGCCCGCGCTGCCCGCACGCAGCTCGCACGCTGCTCGCGCGGCCCGCACGCTGCCTGCGCGTCGCCCCCGCTGCCTTGTGCCACCGGCGCTGCCTGCTCGCTGCTGGCCCACCGCCCGCTGCCCTGCGCGCTGCATTGCTCGTGCTGCCTGCGTGCGCCCTGCCTGAGCCGCCCACGCATTGCCCTGCGCCGCCCGCTCACGCCCCTGCCCTGCCCCTGCTGCTGCTGCCTGCGAGCCGCCCAGCCGAGCCGCCAAACCGAGCCACCCAGTCGAGCCACCCGTTCGAGCCGCCCTGCCGAGCCGCCCACACCGAGCCGCCCTACTGAGCCGCCCCTTACTGCTGCTACTGCTATTACTGTTGCTGCTTCTACCACTATCGTTCCTCCTGTCATGGCGACCCCTACTGTGCTCACCTTTGACGGCAAGGGCCACCCGGTAGACTTTGAGTCGTGGCTATAGGATCTCCACTGGTACATGCAGAGCCTGACTAGGGAGGATGTCTCTCTCTTTGAACATACCTCGGGGTCCCTCGATGCCCCTCCTGACTCAGCTGCTCGTGTAGACCAGTCCAAGTGGACTTCTCGTGACGCTACTGCCGCTCTTGCTGTCCGTAGCCACCTTCCGCTAGACCATCACTCCCACTTTCGCCAGCTTAAGACGGCCAAGGCGCTTTACGACGCTGTAGTCAAGCGCTACTCTTCCCCGTCGTCTGCAAGTGTAGGCCGCCTGGCGCTGCCGTTCCTCTTTCCTGAGTTGTCGGACTTCACCACAGTAGCCAACCTCCTGACTCACCTGCGCTCCCTTGAGACCCACTACGCTGCCGCCCTCGAGCCCGCCTTTAGAGCTGAGAACAAGCCACCCATTTACCTCACCCTTTACATTCTCACGACCCGCCTCCCTTACTCCCTTCGTGCTGTACGCGACCACTTCCCCGCTCTCGACCCCACGAAGATCACCCTCGCCTTGTTTGAGTCCCGTCTCTTAGAGGCTGAGTCCGTTGCCCTAGCTGTCGCTGCCTCTCATGGCACTCCCCTCCCCTCTGTCTTTAAGGGGTGCTCCCCCTCCCTGCTCGCGCCGTCTGTTGCCTCTGCTGCTGCTGTGGACCTCTTTGGTGCTGAGGAGGTCGGTGTTGCGTCTGCTCCTAGTGGGAGGTGCCGTAGCGGCAAGGGCAAGGGTGGCAAGGGTGGGGGTGGTGGGGGTGGTGGGGGTGGCGGGGGTAGCGGTGGTGGCGGTGGAGGTGGTGGTGGTGGGGGAGGAGGAGGTGGAGGCGGCAGAGGAGGAGGAGGGGGTGGTGGGAGCAGTGGGGGTGGTGGAGGGGGTGGAGGTGGCACTAGGAGTGGAGCTGGCGGAGGAGGAGCTGGAGGTCCGGCCACTTGTTCAGTTGTGGTGCAGCGGGTGGTGGAGGCGGCTCTGGGGGTGGTCAGCAGCAGCAGCTGAGCCCACAGGCGCAGCTTTCGCCGCAGCAACTTCGTGAGTGGGCGATCTGACGTGGCAGCTCAGGTGGCCCAACTCGCTGCGGGTACGTCCGTCGCACAGGTCAGCCTAGAGCGACCTGCACTCGCACCGACCACACCGAGTCTCGTTGCTTCCTTCGCCTCGACGATCTGTATCGTGTGGAGCATGGTGAGCACATGACGACTCATGACTGGCTCGCCTTGCCAAAGAAGGACATAAATGTTTTTGCTTGTGAATGGGCTGTGATCCATGCTGGCATGTATGCCATGTATGCCATGTATGCTGCTTCTGCTAGTGTTGAGGATGACTGTTACTTGTATGTGCCTAGCGTTGCTAGGGTAGAGGCTGCTAGTCTTGGTGCTTTTGACTCAGCTAGCACAGGTGCAGAGCTTGAGGAGGCCTTGTACACTTTTACTCTCGACTCAGGCGCATCTCGTTTCTTCTTCCACGACAGCACCACAGTCACATCACTCACAGCCCCTGTCCCTGTCACACTGGCCGACCCCTCCGGGGGCCCGGTAGTCGCGTGTGGCGCTACTGTTCTCCCTTGCCCGGCGGCCCCTTCCGGCCTCCTTAGAGGTCTCCTCCTCCCTTCGTTCGCTAAGAACTTGGTGGCTACCTCTGTCCTCCAGGACCAGTGGGTCACTGTCACCCAGCCTGGAGGAGAGCTTGTGGCGATCTTTACGGACTCCCGCACTGGTGAGCACCTTGCCACATTCACTTGGAGGCCCAGGTATGGTCTGTACACACTGACTACTGAGTCTGCACATGTGGCTGAGCAAGTCAGGTAGCTGCGTCGGTTGAGGTCGCTGCGTCTTGTTCGTGTCGTCTCCTCATGCACCAGACTCTCCTCTGGCACCACCGCCTTGGCCACCCCTCATTGCCACGCTTTCGTGGCATGCACTCACGTCTCCTTGTGTCTGGTCTCCCCAGGTCCCTGCCCCCACTTCCGAGGTCGCTTGCACCGCCCTGCCTTCCTTGCGTCGAGGGGCGGTACCGCGCCGCTCCTCACTCCTCGTTTCCTCCTACCACCGCTCCTCTGCAGACCCTCCACATGGACGTGTGGGGCCCCGCCCGCGTCACTGGACAGGGGGGCGAGTGCTAATTTCTGCTGGCTGTAAACAACTACACGCGCTACACCACGGCCTTCCCCTTGCAGAGCAAGGCGGATGTCTGTGGTGTCTTGATCCGCTGGATCCGCGCTGTCCGTCTCCATCTTCGCGATCGGTTCCGGCATGACCTCCCAGTCCTGCGGCTGCACTCTGACCCTGGTGGTGAGTTTTCCTCCCACCTCATCGAGGACTTCTATGGCGCCGAGGGCATCGTCTAGTCGTTCACGCTTCCAGCCTCTCCACATCAGAATGGGATTGCTGAGCGCCGCATTGGCCTGGTCATGGAGGTTGCTCGCACCTCCATGATCCATGCAGCTGCTCCCCATTTTCTATGGCCATTTGCGGTCCGATACGCCGCTGAGAAGCTCAACCTCTGGCCCCGTGTCTCCCACCCGGAGACCTCCCCTACTTTACGGTGGACGGGCGAGGTTGGTGATGCATCGGCGTTTCAAGTCAGGGGTTCCCTCTCTCTTCTCCGAAGAGTGCGTCTTCCTTGGTTTTCCCACCGACGCACCGCCCTGGCAGTTTTACCACCCGGGCTCTCGTCGTGTGCTGTCCTCCCGCGACGTCACTTTTGACGAGTCAGTTTGCTTCTACCGTCTTCACCCCCACCGCAGTTCCCCGGTACCCCTCCCGCCTCTCTCCTTGGTTGTCGACCCCCCCCGATAGCCCCCCTCCCTCCTCTCGGTCCTGCTCCCTCAGGGGTGTCTCAGGTAGACCCACCCCCCTTGGTTGATCCTTTGGAGGTCTCCTCTGACACCTCTGGCCCAGCTGAGGGGGGTGACCCGACTGCTGCCAACACCGTGGCCCCTCGCCGCTCCGCGTGCTTGGCGGTCCCTCCTGGTTTTCCACCTCGACCGTCTTCACCGCCTCTGCAGCCCGTCGCTGTGGACTCTGGTGCTGCTGGAGGTGGTGACACCGGGGGTGCGGACTATGGGGGTGCTGGCTATGGGGGTGCTGGGTGTCCTACGGGTACAGGAGGTGCTGGAGGTGCTGCTGTTGGAGGTACTGCGGTTGGAGGTGCTGGTGGGGCTGGTGCTGGTGGTACTGGTGCACGTCGGCAGGAGATTCTCTCGCCGGAGCGGCTTCACAAGTGGGCTGTCCGGTGGGGCAGCCCCGGTGGCGGCGCTGGACGTGCTGGAGCTGGCGGTACTGGAGGTACTGGACCTGGAGGTGCTAGTGCTAGTGTTCTTGGAGTTGGCCGTGCTGGAGGTACTGGTGCTGGAGGCACTGGTGCTACTGGAGTTCCTGGAGGTACAGGTGCTGTTGGTGGTGTTGCGGGCGACTCTGGTTCCCGTCGACAGGAGCCTCTCTCGCCGGAGCGGCTTCGAGAGTGGGCTGTCCGGTGGGGCAGCCCCGGTGGCAGAGCTGGACGTACTGGAGCTGGAGGTACTGGAGGTACTGGCCATGGAGGTGCTAGTGTTGTTGTTCCTAGAGTTGGAGGTACTAGAGGTGCTAACACTGGAGGTGCTACTGAAGGTACAGGAGTTGGTGGTGCTAGTTGGCAGGAGTCGCTCTCGCCGCAGCGACTTCGCGAGTGGGCTGTCCGTTGGGGCAGTCCCAGTGGTGGAGCTGGCGGTACTGGTTCTGGGGGTGTTGTTCCTACTAGAGGTAGAGGTTCTGGGGGTGTGACTACTCAGCCGCAACCATTTGCGCTTAGTCACCTTCTCAGTCTACCACCTGCTGCTACTGAGTTCCCGGTTGCTGGTACTACTCCTCCGTTACTGTTCCCACCGACTGACCTGTCTCCGCCATAGTTACTGCTTGACTCCCCACTGCCTGCTCCTGCTCCGTACACTGACATGACAGACTCCCTGACCGAGACTAGAGAGCCTAGTTCTTGTGCTTCCACACCTGTTCGTGCTCGTCGTGTTGCCCGTCCTCGTGCTCCCACTGTGCCAGGCACTCACTGCATGCCACTTCGTCCTTCCTCTGTTCCACAACGTGTTGTACTGCCGTCGCCACCCGCGTCTTCTCTTCCGCACGTTCCTGAACCTGAGTCTGACCTTGTCCGTACTCCCAGTCCGACTGTCACTAGTCTCCTTGCCACGGTTGTGACTGACCCTTCCGTTGAGTCTGCTGCTGCGTCTCCCTTAGTTGCTGAGCTTGTTGACTTTGCTCCTTTGTGCCGCCTTGACTACGCCGCGAGTCTTGTTTTTGACTCTTCCTGTCCTCCGTCCGTCGGGGGTGAGTTTGCCCTTGGATTTAACGTCCTTGAGGACAGGCAGTTTGAGCAGGAGTGCCTAGCAGCCGCTGCACCTCATCTCGCGTCCACGCTACTTTGCCCTGAGGGAGACACGGATGAACTGGACATCCCGACCCCGTGTTCTTATGCAAACGCGATCACGGGTCCGTACTCCTCTCAGTGACAGATAGCCATGGATGTAGAGATGGCTTTCTGGAAGTCCAGAGGCACCTATGTCGATGCAATTCCCCCACCTGGGGCGAACATAGTCGATGGCATGTGGATTTTCAGGGTGAAGCGGCCGCCGGGATCTCCGCCTGCCTTCAAGGCGCGTTACGTTGCACGAGGCTTCAGTCAGCGTGAGGGGGTCGACTTCTTCCATACCTTCTCCCCCACCCCGAAGATGACCACTCTTCGGGTGCTACTGCACATTGCAGCACAGCGCGACTACGAGCTGCACTCCCTCGACTTCTCGACAGCCTTCCTGCAGGGCAGTCTTCACGAGGATATCTGGTTGCGCCGCCCACCTGGATTCACTGGGTCGTTTCCTGAGGGTACCTAGTGGAGTCTCCGGCGACCAGTCTACAGCCTGCGTCAGGCGCCCCGTGAGTGGCACGACACACTGAGGACTATACTTGCGGCTCTTGGTTACGCTCCCTTGACTGCTGACCCTTCTCTGTTTCTGCGCACAGACACTTCTCTGCTGCCGTTCTACGTTATTGTTTACGTCGACGACTTAGTTTTTGCTACTGCTGACACTGAGGCACTGGCTCTAGTGAAGGCGGAGCTGCAGGAGAGACACACCTGCACTGACATGGGTGAGCTGCGGAGCTATCTTGGCTTGCAGATCACCCGGGATAGAGCACGGCACACCATCACCCCGACTCAGTCACTCATGGTGCAGCGGGTCCTTCAGCACTTTGACTTCTCGTGGTCCTCGCCACAGCCCACTCCTCAGCCTACAGGCCACTCGCTCTCAGCTCCACCTTCGGACGAGTCCGTAGAGCCGAGTGGTCCGTTTCCAGAGCTTGTGGGTTGCCTCATGTATCTGATGACGTGCACACGACCTGACCTCGTATACCCTCTCAGCCTCCTAGCTCGCTACGTGGCTCCCGGTAGACACCGAAAGGTGCACTGGGAAGCTGCAAAGAGGGTACTGCGTTACTTGTGCAATACATCGGGCATGGGGTTTGTGCTTGGAGGACAGGGTTCAGTTGTTCTGACCGGTCACTCGGATGCTTCTTGGGCTGACGACCAGACGACTCACGGATCGACACAGGGGTACAGTTTCCACTCTTGGTTACTCGGATGCTTCTTGTCTCTTGATCTTGCCTTGCACTTGTTGTACTCTTATATATATGACTATACTTGCATGTTGCACTGGCAAGGTTGTGATCAGTGTGCTGCAAGTGCTATTACCACTTGCTTGTGCTCAGAATGCGTGGTGATCTTGAGATCCACCCTGAGCTTTGCTTTGCGTTGTTCTCTTGCTTGACTGTTCTTGTGACCGTTGGTTGTGTTTGCTATCCCCCACTTTGCCTATGGGGGTGTGTCAAACTATATGTTTGTTAGCTTGTAGGCTACAGTGAGGTTCACACTAGAGAGGATAACCTAATTAGGGTTTCCTACTTGTATTTAACTGTTTCCTAGTTCATTCATTCGTCATTCCTAATCTTGACACGTCTATCACAACAAGGGGACTGGGAAGGGTGTAACCGCGAAAAACTGGTACCAGGGCACAACGCGTGGGCATTTCGGCAGCTGTGTGCACTGGTAGCATAATTTAAGACCATAATTCGGTAACGGGACTTGGTTGCTCCGCCCGGTGAAGCTGAAGGACCTTTCTGGTTAGTGAACTCTCCTCTTGGCTTGGCACTAGGGATACCTCCTTGGGTAGCAGCGTGGGCTATGGGTAATGCGAGGAGGAAGGACGGATGGGGCTTGCAGAAACAGAAAGGACGGAGGGAGAGGAGGAGGGAGGTGTGGTGGAGTGATGGGGAGCAGCGAGGGGGAAGAGGAAGCGGTTGGTGTAGGCATTCGTCCACTGGGGGGGTGGGGAGGGGTGGAAGAGAGGAAGTAGTGGAAAAGAGAGTGAGGGAGAGCGGTTGAGGGCGAATGTGAGTGTGAGAGAGTGGGGAGGGCAGTGAAGTGAGAACAAGGAGATGGGAGAAGCGATGGAAGAGGGAGCGGCTGATGAAGGGGGGCGGGCACGATAGGAAAAGGGGGGTTGTGGAGGGATGGAGAAGGAACAAGAAGTGCTATGGCTGTGAGTGGGAGCGTGCGCATGGCAGCAGAGATGACGGGAGAGAGAATTATGGGCTGTTGGAGGAGGCTCCCCAAACACCCTCACCTCCTCCCCTCACAGCCTCACCTCCTCCCCTCACAGCCTCACCTCCTCCCCTCACAGCCTCACCTCCTCCCCAAACACCCTCACCTCCTCTCCAAACAGCTGCCCCAGCATGTTCACAGCGGGGTCGTGCTGCTCAAAGTACTCATCAAACGCCCTCTGCCCCTCCTCTGCTGCACGGCAATCAGCCTGTGTGGGTGGTGCTGCCCCTCCATGGCACGCCATGCAGGCGTCGTGATAGGCTGTGATGTACTCGTTGAGGAGCTGCCACACACTGCCGCTGGTGGGCTGGTGGGATAGGGGGGAGTATGGAGGGAGAGAGGGGGGAGGATGGAAGGGAAGGAGAGAGAGGGAAAAGGACCATGGCACGCCATGCAAACGTCGTGGTAGGCTGTGACGTACTCCGTGAGGAGTTGCCATTGGTGGGCTGGTGTGGTGAGATGGAGGGAGGGAGGTAGAGAGGAGGATTGAAAGGAAGGAGGGAGAGAGGGGGTTGAGGGAGAAAGAGAGGCAGTGACCATGCAGGCGTTGGTGAAGAACTGCCACACACTACCTGTGGGCGGCTGGTGTGATGGGTGGGTGGGAAGGAGGGAGGGAGGGCGGAGGATGGAAGGGAAGGAGGGAGAGGGACAAGGACCATGGCATGTTATACTGGGTGGGTCGTGGTAGGCTGTGTTGTACTCGTTGAGGAGCTGCCACACACTGCCGCTGGTGGGCTGGTGTGGTGAGATGAGGGAGGGAGGGAGGGAGGGAGGGAGGGAGGGAGGGAGGGACGGTGGGACGGAAAATGAAAGGTTGGACCAGCAGAGCAGGTGGGTGGGAGCAGGTGGCGTGGCACAGGCTAGAGCAGATGAGGAGGTGAATGACAAGTGGGGTAAGGTAACCTGTGGTAAGAACAAGTGAGGAAACTAGAGCGCAGGGCACCATATTTAGCTGCATGCACAGCAGCTCTTCACCTTATGTCGTCCCTCACAGGAGGAATAATTTTACCACAGCTAAGTTTGAACTTCAAACCACAGACATACATCACTGCAGCGCCTTACCTGCAAGCTGGCATACGCCCACCCATTCTGCCAGTTGTGGTGCAGCAAAAGAAGAAGCGAGGGGAGAAGAGGGTAGGGTCCTTTTGAGACGTCTCAAAAGTCAGTTGTGGTGCAGCAAAAGAAGAAGCGAGGGGAGAGGAGGGTAGGGTGGGATATCCAATGAAACACTCACAGCGCTGCAGCGTCTCACCTGCAAGTTGGCATCCGGCCAGCGGTGCTGCAAGTGATACAGCGGCAGGTGCGGCAAGACAAGGCGAGAGAAGGCGAGGGTAGCGTACCGTCCTCAGCTGCACCCACACCTGTAGCGTACCGTCCTCAGCTGCACCCACACCTGTAGCGCGGTTGTTTTTGAGACGTCTCAAAAACACCTGCACATCAACTGAACCACAGCGTCTCACCTGCAGGTTGGCATCGGCCCAGCTGTCCTGTGAGCGGTAGAGCCGAGAGTAGCATAGCGTACCATAATTATTGCTGCAGAGTAGCAACTTATCATTTCGATCTATCTTTCTCCAAGTCAGCGCCAGCTTAGTAACTCATATAGCCTTTGACCCTTCAGGAGTGCGACATTGCTAAGAATAAAATCTACCTTCGGAAAACCTCATACGTAAATCATATTATTCTTAGCAGGGTCGCATACCTGAAGGGTCAAAGGCTATATGAGTTACTACGATGGTGCTGACTCGGAGAAAGACAGATCGAAATGGTGAGTTGCTACTCTGCAACAACTGTTTTGGCGACTTAGTAAGTTGGGAGTTTAGAAATTTTGGCCACAACACGCAAGTTGTCACACAGGCAAGTAGCAATCCATGCTTTAATTGCCACACAGGCACAACTTGGTCTCGCTCACCTGCAGGTTAGCATCTTCCCAGCCGTCCTGTGAGCTGTAGAGAAGCAGGTTCAGCGAGAAGAAGAGAGAGTGCTGGTAGCACTCGGATTGAGCCAATACCATATCTATACCATACAAGGCAGCAGGTAGATCACAACAACGCCTCACCCGCAGGTTGGCATCCGCCCAGCCGTTCTGGGAGCGGTAGAGCAACAGGTGGGGCGAGAAGAAGTGCGAGGAGCAAAGAGTGGCATGCCGTATCCAGCTGCACCTGCACAGGCAGCACAACTGAGTCTCACTCACTCACCTGCAAGTTGGCATCAGCCCAGCCGTCCTGAGAGCGGTAGAGCAGCAGGTGCGGTGAGAAGAAGTGCGAGTCAGTGGCGAAGAAGCGGGCCGTCATGGGCGTGAGCAGATGGGCGTGCTGCTGGCGAATGGTGTTCAGACGGGCTGTTACTGTGGGCTGCACGTGGGAGGTGGGATGGGGGGGGAGAGTAGGGTGACATGACAAGTGCGGGGAGAAGAAGTGCGAGTCAGTGGCAAAGAAGCGAGCAGTCATGGGCGTGAGCAGGTGGGCGTGCTGTGAGCGGATGGTGCTCAGACGGGCCGTGACTGATGCCTGCACGCAGGAGGTAGGTTAGGGAGCAGGATGTGATGTAAAAGGACCAATAAAAGGAATGGGTGGAGGTTGGCAAGCGGTCATGAGTGTGAGCAGATGGGCGTGCTGTGAGTGGACGGTGCTCAGACGGGCTGTGACTGATGCCTGCACCAGGGGAGTGAGATAGGATGCAACATCAAGAGGTTAGAAAAATGGTAGCAGGTGGGCGTGCTGCTGGAGGACGGTGTTCAGACGTGTGGTCACTGCAGGCTGCAAAGCACATAGCATGCAGGCAAGACAGGGAGGCGAATGAGAGAAATTTACTGCAAGTGGTGAGCAATTGGAAAAGAAGTGAGAACGTGACTCACAGGGTCACAGGGCCACAGGTAGAAGGCGGCCATGGGTGAGGCGGTATAGCTGTTGGGGCGACGTGGGGTGCAGGTGGATGAAGGTGAGGAGGCGTCGAGGCCACCCCGGTCGAGGGGTGCATGCTCACAAGCTTACAGGCTCACCGGGAGGAGGTTCCCCTGGGTGAGGCGGTGGAGTTGGTGGGGTGACGTGGGGTGCAGGTCGATGAAGGCGAGCAGGCGGGAGGCGTTGAAACACAGCAGCTCCACTGCCAGTAGAGGGAGGTCGCACCTGGGGAGGCGGGAGGGGCAGGGGGTGGAGGGAAAAGCAGGCAACATGTGAGGGACATGAGGGATGGAGTTGAGACACAGCAGCTCCACTGCCAGCAGAGGCAGTTCGCACCTGGGGGAGGTGGGGGAGTGGATGGAGTTGAACGGTGTGGAGGGAGATGGAGGGAGGTGGAGGGAGGTGGAGGGAGGTGGAGGGAGGTGGAGGGAGGTGGAGGGAGGTGGAGGGAGGTGGAGGGTGTGAAGTGCAGACAGCATGTGAGGTACACGAAGGATGGAACTGAAGCACAGCAGCTCCACTGCCAGCAGAGGCGGGTCACACCTCGGGGAGACGTGGAGAAGGGGGTAAAAGGGCGAGGGGAAGCACAGGCAATACAGTGAGGAGCCGACAGAGTGAGAGCAGGTGAAGGGATTTGAGGTACAACGGGGGGGGGGGGGGAGGCCGAAACAGCAGGCAGCATGTGCAGCACGGCATGAGGAAGGAGACGAAGCAGAGCAGCACGGTTGCAAGCAGGGCGAGGTAGCAACTGAGGAGGTGAAGGTGAGAGGAGGGCCAAGGGAGTGTTAGGCAGAGAGGGTGCGAGGCAGAGGTGCGGGCAGCACGCACCTTAAGCACGGGTGAGACACACCTGAAGCGAGGGTAGCAAAGGGCGGTGAGCGCCTCCACCTTGGTCCCATAGTCCACATATGACAGGCGCACCCGTCGCGAGGGTGAGTGGGTGGGACACACACCTGGAGCAGGAAGCATGCACCTGAATCGCGAATAACAGAGAGCATTGAGGTGGGGTGAGGGTGAGAGACACCTGAAGCGAGGGTAGCAGAGGGCGGTGAGCGCCTGCACGTTGGTCCCATAGTCCACATACGACACCCGCACCCGCCGCAGCACTGCCGTCTCCACCAACCAGTTCCTCACACGTGGCCTCTCCTCCTCCCCTCCCCGCGCACCCCCCTCCTCCTGCTCACCATCCCCGCTTTCCCGCTCCCCCTCCCCTCGCCCTCCACCGCTACCTCCTTCCCCACCCCCCCTCCCGTCCCTCTTCCGCCCTCCCCGCCTGCCCGCGCCCCTCCCCGCGCCCTCCCTGAAAGCCAGGTCCGGGGGCAGCGGCAGGGGCTTAAAGCCCGGCTGCTGCTGCAGCGCGCGCCAGAGGAGGCGCAGGTGCGGGGCAAAGGGCAGGGGGGAGTCGCTGGGGGAGTCACTGGGGGAATCCGCCAGCCCATGGGGGTCGCTGGGGGAGTCCGCCAGCTCATGGGGGTCCAGCGGAGGGGGCTCGTGTGGCGAGATGCGCGCATGCGAACGTTCAGATGTTAGGACGGCTGCTGAGCCTGAAACGTCCTCGTCGGTGGTGGATGCTTCGACTGCTGAGCTCTCAACAGCTGCAGCAACTGCAGCAGTGCCAGCAACTTCGACTGCTGATGCTGCTGCGGCTGCTGCTGGAGATGCAGCTGCTACTGTTTCCGTACCTGCCGCGTCTCTGGTTGTCCGCTGCGCCGCTGGTGTTGCGGGTGTATGCTGCGCTGCTGGTTTTGTGGTGCTGCGGCGACTAGAAGCAGTCGCCTGGTCGTCGCCAGACATGCGCGGCACTCCACGAAGCCGGTTGCGCGACTCCTGTCGCTCATGCGAATGGCTGTGCGACCGCATGCGACGCTGTCGCTCTGGTACATTGCTCGCCGCCTGATGGGTGTACCACGGCGACGAAGAGTGTGCAGCTGTACGCGCTATAAGATGGAACGACGTGGACGCCATGCCGCTTTACGTCGGTACCAACAACAGCCGTGCGGTTTATAGAGCGAGAATAGAGCAAACGTGGATTCGCCACGCTCTAGAGCGACGCGATACAGAGTGAGCGAGGATAACCAGCGGAGCCGAAGGTACAGAGCGGTGCTGATCTGTAGAGAGCGGGGGTACAGAGCGGTCAGATGCGGATATTTGTCACTAGTTTTGCTCACGTAGTTTCATTTGCACTAGTAGTTGTCGTCCCTGGTGATGTGGAGAAGGTCGTACGTTTCTCAAAGAAATTCCCTAACATTTGTTTGTTCCCCTAAATAATTATAAGGGTGAATAACTAGCTAGCAGCTCTATCAAATGGGATTGTTATTAACTTCTTGAAATTATTGTTCATACATATGCAACCCTCCACATTTCATAAGCCACAATTGAAATCTAGGCTAATAACATTTTTCTATGACGATTCTTGTCAGAACATTATAGCTTATACATTTGTGTAGGCTCAGGGCTGATTTTATCAGGGTAATTACCCTGATTTCAAGGTGATTTCAGGCTTTCCACTTCGTGGAGACTGAAATTTCAGAGTTATTGAATTTCCAGCCCTGATCCAATCAGAGTAATAGTTTAGCTATCCCTGATTTTGAGTACGGTGTAACAGACTAGGCTGTTAGTGGACCCTGACTTAACAGAGTATCGACTGTGTGGACCCTGACTTATCGAGAGGAAGTTTCTCGGAAGTTTCCTTCCGATGACCCCGCCTTGGATTGATCGCAGTGATCCCCCCACATGTGCGTAATCCCCCCCCCCTTCCCGCTTTATCGAGACGAAGTTTCTTCGAAACTTCGTACTGATCGAAACTTCGAGACTTTATGGAGAGTGGGGATATTTCCCCGACTTATCGCGAGGAAGTTTCTCGGAAGTTTCGTTTCGATGACCCCGCCTTGGATTGATCGCAGTGATCCCCCCACATGTGCGTAATCCCCCCCCTTTCCGCTTTATCGAGACGAAGTTTCTTCGAAACTTCGTTCTGATCGAAACTTCGAGACTTTATGGAGAATGGGGATATTTTCCCCGGTAACAAAGCGCGCGTTACTACGCTGATGTTCAGTTCTCGACCCTGAACAATCAGTGTTAACTACTTTACAACCCTGAGCAATCAGGGTACTGCTTTTCTGGAAAATGTGCACCCATAATAGAGGGGGAAAATTTTCCCCGGAATCAGGGAAGCTTAAAATGAAACGTCAGCCCTGTGTAGGCTGTAGTGGGGTAGCCCATAAGGGGTACAACCCAATTAGGGTTAGTACTTGTACCCAACTCTTTCATAGTTCATTCATTCTCGTTCGTTACTTTGACATGGAATCAGAGCAGGTTCCTTGGGCCCACCACCTGCTACGCTGCTAGTACTACCACCTAGGCCCGTCGCCCCTAGACCCGTCGACCCTAGCCTAAGCGCCCGGCCCGTCGTTCCTAGCCTACGCGGCCCGCCGACCCCTAGCCCGCGGCCCGTCGACCCTAGCGCCCGGCCCCGTTCCTAGCCCGTGCCCGGCCACGATCCTAGCCCGCGCCCGGCCCCGTCGGCCCTTCGCCCCGCGCCCGGCCTCGTACCTAGTCCCGCGCCCGGCCCCGCCCCTAGCCCGCGGCCCGCCGACCCCCGCGCCCGGCCCCGTTCCTAGCCCACGCCCGGCCCCGTTCCTAGCCCGCGCCCGGCCCCGTTCCTAGCCCAGCGCCCGGCCCCGTTCCTAGCCCGCGCCCGCCCCCGTACCTAGCCCGCGGCCCGTCGACGCCCGCGCCCGGCCCCGTACCTAGCCCGCGCCCAGCCCCGTACCTAGCCCGTGCCCGGCCCCGTATCTAGCCCCGCGCCCGGCCCCAGTTCCGCGCCCAGCGCCCGGTCCCGTACCTGCCCAGCGCCCGGCCGCGTCCCTAGCCCAGCGCCCGGCCCCGTACCTAGCTCACGCCCGGCCCCGTACCTAGCCCGCGCCCGGCCCCGTACCTAGCCCAGCGCCCGGCCCCGTACCTAGCTCGCGCCCGGCCCCGTACCTCACCCGCGCCCGGCCCCGTCCCTAGCCCGCGCCCGGCCCCGTACCTAGCCCCGCGCCCGGCCCCGTCTCTAGCCCAGCACCCGGCCCCGTACCTAGCCCGCGCCCGGCCCCGTACCTAGCCCGCGCCCGGTCCCGTCCCTAGCCCTTCTTTGAGGGGTGCTCCCCCTCCCTCCTTGCCCCCTCCTACGCCTCTGCTGCTGCTGCTGCAGACGTCTCTGTTGCTGAGGACGTCGGGGCTGCTTCTGCTAGTGCGAAGCGCCGCAGCAGCAAGGGCAAGGGTGGCAGGGGTGGTGGAGGTGGCAACGGTAGTGGTGGAGTTGGCAGCGGGAGTGGTGGTGGGGGCAGCAGTGGAGGTGGTGGAGGCAGTGGCGGTGGTGGCGGCGGTGGGACTGTTGGCGGGAGTGGGGGCTCTGGTGGCAGTGGTGGGGGCAGTGGTTGGAGTGGCGGCAGTGGAGGCGGTGGGACTGGTAGCGGTGGGACTGGCGCTCGGCGTGTCGGTTGTGGGGGTGGCCAGCGTCAGCAGCAGCAGCGTCGGAGCGAGACCCCGTCTCCCCAGCAGCTTCGTGAGTGGTTTCTGCGTGGGGCGTCTGGGGGTAGTTGCCCGTATGTCATTCGCACGGGTGACCGTGCTGGTCAGACTTGCGGGCGGCTCCACACTCAGCACCGCTGCTTCTCCCGCCTCGACGACGCTTGGCGTGCTGAGTCTGGTGACGACGCCGAGATCCCTCGCTGGGCAGATCTGCTGAAGTCTAGGATTGCTATATTTGACCTAGACTTTGATGCTATTCTCTCTGCTATGTATGCTTTGTCTGTTAGTGCTGAGGGTGACTGTTACCGGTGTGTGCCGCCTGACCCAGGCATAGCCGCTGCTGCTCTAGGTGCTAGTGAGTTTGGTACTCTCCCTGGTACTGTGCCTGCCGAGGCCTTGCACACTTTCACGTTGGACTCCGGCGCCTCGCGCTGTTTCTTTCGTGATAGCACCACCCTCACTCCTCTTCCTGCACCTGTCCCGGTCATACTGGCTGACCCCTCCGGGGGACCTGTCGTGGCCCGTTCCTCCACTATCCTCCCGTGTCCGGCGGTTCCGTCCGGCTCACTGTCAGGTCTTCACCTCCCCTCGTTCTCTACGAACTTGGTGAGCACCGCTGCCCTCCAGGATGCGATGGTCACTACTACCACTCCTGGGGGTCAGCGTGTGTAGATCTGCACGTGCACACGGACGGGGCGTCACCTGGCCAC